GCTACGTTGGAAATTCTACAAAAGTATTTCATAAGAAAATAAAACATCTCGCCGGTAAAATTTGTCCCGATGTTGACATACGGTTTATACTGAGACCTCCACCTCCGTCAACTTTTTTTCAAATAAAAGATCATTTACCAAAACATTTACAATCAGAAATTGTGTACTCTGCTAAATGTGATAACTGTAACCATAGTTCTGTTGGAAAAACTGAAGAGCAGAGTGCTCTAAGATTATGCGAACATGGAGCTTCGAGAGAAGAATTTGATAAGTATGACGTATATCCACTAGATAGTGAGATAGAAGAAGTCGGTTCAGAATCACGAGATAGAGTCCGTCATAGTCATTCTAAACGACGCATGAAACGCCTTGAAAATCGACTGTTGACACCTGGAGTTAGACGATCTTCTAGACTACTAGCTAAAGTACACACTGCTGACAATAGAAGGCTGATTGCACGAACGAAGTTGAAAAAGATACAAAAGACACATCAACTTTAGCCAAACATGAACCTGAAACTGGACATAAGATTGACAATCTCAAAATGTTGAAATGAAGTGATAAAAATCCAAATAGATTGCTCATAAAAGAATAATTAGTAATCAAAGCTTATGAACCTTCTCTTAATTTGGCAACACATTCAATATCAATAATTGTGTATCCGGAAGGCTTTGCCGAGATGTTTGATACCTGATCCTAATGGCTAAGTCACACAACTTTTATGTAGTAAATACAAATATATGACATTCATTTACTAAATTCATATTCAGTATTCTCTTATACGATATAGACTAAATAGAAAGAAGATGAATTTTCTTTTTCTTTTTCGAAACTGATAGAAAAAGAAAAGCATGTCATATTTCTCCTTGCTTCTTCTTCTTTCCGTTCCATCTCTGTTTCATATCTATAGGATTGAAAAATTATTTTGTGCGTTCATAATATTCTATTTGTGTACTCCTCGAAAAAAATTTTTGAAACGTCGGAATAAATAAATATTCAAATGACTTTATATAAAGCTGCTGCAAAAAGCCTATTTTTGCTGCTGTATTCATAACATTACTACATATCAAAGAATTAGGATGGTGATAAATAAGTATAACATCATCAGCAAACAATTTAATAAAACTCTCTATACCGATGGGTAGACATCAATGTAAACAAGAAAAAGTAAAGGTCCTAAAACTGAGCCTCGAGGAACACCTTTAGTTAGTTACAGGCCGTTTCCTGGACATGTGACCGTCAAGAACAGTTTGAATACCCGGGTTAGCAAGATAATCCGTAATCCATTTCAAAACTTTTTTTCGAATACCTTTCTTATGTAATTTGAGAATCAAACACTGGTGATTTACGTTATCGAAAGCCTTTTGAAAATCCAATGAAGCTGGTCGAACAAATTTATCTTTCTTAAGCCAGAGTTTATCTTATGAACAACTTCTAGTAGCAGATTAGTCGTACTATCTTTAGCTACAAAGACCGCTGTGACACCGATAAAAGTTTATCTTTTATAAAATGTACATATAGTTGCTGACGCACCAAACGCTCTGGCACCTTGTAAAATCTTGTAAAAGGGTTATAGGACGATAGTTCGATCTTTTTAGTTTATTCTCCTTTTTTATACAAATGTCACTGTTGTTTAAATTACTTCCAGTTATGGTTCTGTTGAAAGTAACAAAAGATAATTATATATTCTTGGATTTGCTGTTGGGTTGATGCAAAAGTATCCGCCGATTTTTTTTCTTTTTAATGTTTCATAATTTTATTGAAACAAAACAACATCAATCAACAACATATATACCATTGTTATCTACGACATACTCCCATCTCTTAGGCAAATCCAGAATGCTATCTTCAAAGAATTTCTTGGACAAAGACTGCAAGAAACGTTCTAGGTCCGACTTTAAGTGCGCTTCATCGTCGAAGTGTTTCCGGAGCAGATGATTGCGAAGCGAGCGGAATAAGTGATAATCTGAGGGTACTAAGTCTGGTGAATACGATGGATGGGGTAGGAGTTCCCAGCCCAGTTCTTCCAGCTTTTGACGGGTAACTTTTGATACATGAGGTCTAGCGTTGTCGTGAAGCAGCCGAACTTTTCGTCGTTCTGGACGCTTGGCTTGAGGTGCCACCTTCAAATTTTCGAGTTGTGTGCAGTAAAGTTTGGAGTCTACTGTGGTGTTAGGAGGAAGAAGTTCATAGTAGATAACACCTTGAAAATCCCACCAAATTAATAGCATTACCTTTTTTGGGCGCAAGTCGTTTTTCGGCTCTGGCTCGGGCATATCTTCGGGATTGAGCCACTGGCGCTTGCGTGTATGATTCACGTAGAGTACCCACTCTTCATCACCAGTGACGATTTGCTGAAGAAACCTGTATCGGTCGCGCTTGGACAACAAAAAGTTGCAGATGGTGATTCTCTGCTGCATGTTGTCTGGTGAGAGTTGATGTGGAACCCATGTACCAAGCTTATTGGCTTTTCCCATTTGATGCAAATGACGGTCGATCGTGGATTGGTTGCAGCCTACCATTGCCGACAAGTCACGTGTGGTTAGCTGTGGATTGTCTTCTATCAATGCTTTTAATCGTTCAACATCGGATTCGGGAGGACGTCTAGACCTCGGTTGATCTTTCAGTGACAGGTCGCCTGCCCGGAATCTTTTGAACCAATCACGACATGTACGATCAGCAACTGTACCTTTGCCGAGAGCAGTACATATATTGCAAGCAGCAGCACTTGCATTGTTCCCGAGCTGGAACTCATACAAAATACAATGTCGAATATGCATAGAAATCTCGGACATTTTTTAATCTAAAATGTTTATACTTGAGAATATCTATTAATGTCGTTTCATGGTACTAGCCAAGTACTGTCATACATGGAAAAAAAATGTATTATACTGTTAGATGATTGTAAACATTTTTCAAAAAAATCGCCGGATACTTTTGCATTAACCCAATACAACAATTTTCAGTCAAAGAGTTGTCAGTTGGGTATTTCCATTAAGAACCTACCAAGTTATAC